TTCGGTGCCAGTACTGACCAAAATTTTTTTTTCCCAAAGGAATATTGTGAATAGATTAGCCATTTCAGACCCCAGACATACACGTACAAACGCACTTACTTAAATACACTTACATAATTGGTCGCATTTGGAGGTGATCTTTAAGCAGGGGCCCCACTGTATATAATATATATATAATAATATATAAAATATATATATAATATATATATATATATATAAAATATATATATATATATTAAAATATTATATATAAAATTTATATATTAATATATATATTATATTATATTTTATATATATATATATATATATATATATATATATATATATATATATATATATATATATATATATTAAATTATTTACATATACGGTACTACCAGTGGAACCTCAGTACTCGAACAATTTGGTATTTGAATGCTTTGTTTGGTAAAAAAATTGCTCAGTAGTCGACCTTTTGCTTGGCACTCGACCAAACAAACATGACCTGCCAGAAATTCACTGTAAACTATTTCATGTTTCTTCGCTTTTTTGTTATTTTTTATATTATTTTTATATTATTGGTGCTTTTTTATATTTGTATAAATAAGTCATCATGGGGCCTATGAAGATTAGTGATAACAGCCAACAAAAAATTGGTTTGGAAAAATTCGTTCTGTACTCGAACAGCCTTCTGGAACAAATTAAGTTCGAGTACCGAGGTTCTACTGTACATATTTATGTTTTGTCAGTTTACCACCTCATTTTATTACTTTATACTGAAGTAACTGTGAAATTATTCTCAATAATGTTACTTTATTTCCCTAAATACTGGTGTACTTTATATTACTTAAGACTTAATAAAATAATTTTGGTACATATACAGTAAGATGAGAATAAGCCTACTTACCACATACAGCAAAATAAATGAATACTGTATATTCCTTGAATATTACATCTTTGCACTATAAGTACAGTAATGTATGCAAGTTTGGGTACTAGCATACAAGTTATTTGGTGTTAGACTTTCTGCAGCATGAGTATTGGAGAATTAGCTGAAGCAAGAAGTGCACTGCTGGGGTTTGTCCAGGACTTACGTATCCGTGTGTCTGTCTTCTTGAAGGAGAAGCAGCAGACTCCCAATGGCACCTTTATCCTACCCACCGGTGGCCCTGTTCCTTATGGTCGGTCACTAACATCTCACTTGTGTTTTCCTTTAAAGATGATATACTTTTTTTTTTTTTACCTTTAAAGGGTTAACTGAACTATTCAGTTAGATTGAAAAGTTTAATACAGAATCATTAAAAAGATGAGTTTCCAAAATGAAAATATTTGGCAGTTCAGACTCCATTAGAAATAAAATTTTGTCATAAGGGTTCTCTTACACATTATTCTTAATTTTTTTTTACACACAACATATCAGCCATTTCCAACCAAAGCAGGGTGACCCAAAAAGAAAGAAAAAGTCAAAAAGAAAGAAAAAACTTTCATCGTCGTTCCACACTATCACCACCACTCATACATAATCACTGTCTTTGAAGAGGTGCTCAGATACAACTGCTTAGATGTCCCTCCAAATTGCCAATATCCCAAACCCCTCCTTTAAAGTTTGCACTTCACATTTCCAGGACTCAAGTCCAGCTAACCAGTTTCCCCGAATCCTTTCACAAAATTTTACCCTGCTCATACTCCAACGCTCTCGGTCCCCAAAAAACCATTCGCCCTTTCACTCCTATCTAACACACTCGCCATCTTACGGGAATCCAGCCCCTCGCCCAAAAAACCTCATTTACCCCCCTTTCCCCCGACCTTTTTGAGGGCAACCCCTACCCCCGCCCTTTCCCTTCCCAAAAGATTTATATCTCTCCAAACCATTTTTTACTTTGCTCCTTCCTCTAAATACCAAACCGCCTCAACACTCCCTTCAGCCCCCCTGCTTTTTGTAACTCTACACCCCTAAAATTTCCACACTACAAGTTCTCTGCAAATATTTACACCACACATTGCCCTTAACATGCCCCTTTCCCCTGCTTTTCCTGCCTGCCGCTGCAGCATTTACAACCCAAGCTTCACACCCGTATGAGAGTGTTGGTACCACTATACTCTCATACATTCCCTTCTTTGCCTCCATGGAAAATGTTCTTTGTCTCCACAGATACCTCAACACACCACTCACCTTTTTTCCTTCATCAATTCTAGGGTACCAACACTCTTATATGGGTGTGAAGCTTGGGTTGTAAATGCTGCAGCGAGGATACGGTTGGAGGTAGTGGAGATGTCCTGTCTAAGGGCAATGTGTGGTGTAAATATTATGCAGAAAATTCGGAGTGTGGAAATAAGGAAAAGGTGTGGAGTTAATAAAAGTATTAGTCAGAGGGCTGAAGAAGGGTTGTTGAGATGGTTTGGTCATTTAGAGAGAATGGATCAAAGTAGAATGACATGGAGAGCGTATAAATCTATAGGGGAAGGAAGGTGGGGTAGGGGTCATCCTCAAAAAGGTTGGAGGGAGGGGGTAAAGGTTTTGTGGGCGAGGGGCTTGGACTTCCAGCAAGCGTGCATGAACATGTTAGATAAGAGTGAATTGAGACGAATGGTATTTGGGACCTGACGAGCTGTTGGAGTGTGAGCAGGGTAATATTTAGTGAAGGGATTCAGGGAAACTGGTTAAATTTATATAGCCGGACTTGAGTCCTGGAAATGGGAAGTACAATGCCTGCACTTTAAAGGAGGGGTTTGGGATATTGGCAGTTTGGAGGGATATATTGTGTATCTTTATACGTATATACTTCTAAACTGTTGTATTCTGAGCACCTCTGCGAAAACAGTAATTATGTGTGAGGTGAAAGTGTTGAATGATGATGAAAGTATTTTCTTTTTGGGGATTTTCTTTCTTTTTGGGTCACCCTGCTTCGGTGGGAGACGGCTGACTTGTTAAAAAAAAAAAATCACTTCTTCCGTACTACCTCCCACCAATGTGATATCCAGTTTTTCTTTATCTAAATTGTTTGACACCCTCATCACCTTACTCTTATCTATGTTCACTTTCAACTCTCTACCTTTACACACCCTCCCAAACTCATCCACTAACCTTTGCAACTTTTCTTTAGAATCCCCCCAAAAACACAGTATCATCAGCAAAAAGTAACTGTGTCAACGCACGAGAAGCCCCTAGAGGGGCTTCTCATGCATTGATATATGGTTTACAGCATACTTATCTCTATGAAATAACATGACTTATAAATACAGTATTTAATTTTTTGCCAAAGCTAACTTAGCAACTTAATCTAATTTTCCTAAATTTAAGATAATATAATTTATCTTAATCTTATGCCCAATTTGTCATGAGTCAGTCTAAATTTAATTAATATTTGAATATTAGTGAAATATTTTTATGGTCAGTATATTTTTGCAGTTTTGCCAATAATGAGTTTACACTCGGTGCTTTATAAGCAAAGATTGTATGTGCTTTCTAAAACAAACGACAAATACACATTAGAATCTTAACAAGAACTGTTACTATTGAGGACTCCAATAGAAATAAAGTCAAATTTTAAATTTCGAGGTTTTTACCTTGATTAAATCTTTATAATTTACTGCTGGCATATGCCTATAGCTGTTGTATATTTATCATACTCTACAAAACTGCATAATAGAGAAAAATCTTCATAAAGCCTATCTCGCAAAATTGTAGTAACAATTTCTTATATTATTTTGACATCACAGGAAGTGAAATGCCAGGAATTATAAGAGTATTTGAGAGCAGAGGGGAGTTGGCACGTGAGGTGCGATTCCCTTGTGGTGGTCAGTACACAGCAGCACTTCCCCATGGCTCCCTAGCATCAACAGGCCCCAGGGGTACATCACTGGGCACTAACATGTATGTTGACTTATTTTACCTAAGTATAATTCTATGATTTTCTTAGTCATCATTAGGTGGAAATGAAAGTACAGTGGACCCCCGGTTAACGATATTTTTTCATTCCAGAAGTATGTTCAGGCGCCAGTACTGACCGAATTTGTTCCCATAAGGAATATTGTGAAGTAGATTAGTCCATTTCAGACCCCCAAACATACACGTACAAACGCACTTACATAAATACACTTACATAATTGGTCGCATTGGGAGGTGATCGTTATGCGGGGGTCCACTGTACCTGTGATTAATAGTCAGACATTGTGAGATGCATGGTTTCCACGTTAACTTAGGAATCCCCAGCTTACAAATGAGTTGCATTCCTGGTGTTTTAATGAAAAAACAAATTATGTGCTTGGTACTTCAGCTTACAAATGCATTGCAGCTTGCAGCCAATTGTTTCTATAACATATGACAGTACAAAAGATGGTTATGATTCACATGTTTATATCCCATATCAGCAGTTGCAAAGGTTCATTTGGTTTGTAGGTGCCCCATTAGTTAGTGCAGATATTTGTAACTTGTGAATTTGTACATTACACCATGTGGCTTTGGTTATAATGTACTAAATTAGGTGATGTACAACTCGTGCAGGTTTATTTTTTCTCATAAATGAAATAATAATAATAATAATTATCTTAGGCTAAAATACTTATTCTAAAGCTTATGACAATAAAAACTGTTTGTGTGTTAGATATGCAACCCACACAGATGAGCAGTCATCCATGATCAACCATAATGTTAGTGGTAATGACCCAGGTCTTGGCTACACTTGTCAACAACATACTCCAATATCCCCAGCCTACAGGTACTGATTACTTTCAAAAACATAATTATTATATTTCCCACTAGTTGGCAGTTAATAATCTAGCTTTCAGTTACATCGTTATTGCACTGTTTAACCTTGAACATAGCTATCTTGTATAGAAAGCATGTAAAAGTAAATTGACTACAAGAACTTAAGTTTTAATGTTAAATTAAGCATACCATGCACAAACATGCATACATACTCTTCAACTTAACATTTCATAATAAAAAGAAATTAAAAAACTTTGTCAAGGATGTGAATAATTTTATGGTTTTAAAAATGCTAATAAAATATATATACTGTATAGCTAGACATTAAATGATCAGTCATCTAAATATAATAATGATTGTGTTTAGTGATGACAACAGCCCAGTGAGTGGAAGAGCCAAAGATGAACTGAACCTTTTAGCTCAACTCATTGGCTCAGTATCCTCTTCCAAAAAGGAGTTCAAGCTGAACCTCTTCTATGTTGATGATGACAGGTGAGATCAAATTCATTAACTAACTATACTAGTATGTTTAATTCTTTTATCGTCATCTATTTACAGCCATTGCTGCAGCTTTTTTTTTTTTTTAACACACTGGCAGTCTCCCGCCAAGGTTGAGTGATTTGAAAAAGAGGAAACATTTTCATCATCACTCAGTCACTGTTTTGCCAGTAACATGTTGACATCAGTTTGGGTAACCTTCCAGATTGCAGCATCCCCACCCCTCCTTCAAAGTGCAAGCACTCTACTTCCCACTTTCAAGGATTCAAGTCCCGCTGTCCAGTTCCCCTGAATCCCTTGATAAATGTTACATTGCTCACACTCCAACAACATGTTAAGCAATAAAATCCACTTTCCCCATTTACTATAATACTCTCACACAAGCCTATTGGATGTTCAAGTCCCTAGCACCCAAAACCTCCTTTACCGTAACTCCCCTCCCTTCAACTTTTCCTGTGATTACCACTCCATCTCTCTATCCCAAAATTATATACCTTAAGATAAGATAAGATAAGATTTCGTTCGGATTTTTAACCCCGGAGGGTTAGCCACCCAGGATAACCCAAGAAAGTCAGTGCGTCATCGAGGACTGTCTAACTTATTTCCATTGGGGTCCTTAATCTTGTCCCCCAGGATGCGACCCACACCAGTCGACTAACACCCAGGTACCTATTTGCTGCTAGGTGAACAGGACAACAGGTGTAAGGAAACGTGTCGAAATGTTTCCACCCGCCGGGAATCGAACCCGGGCCCTCCGTGTGTGAAGCGGGAGCTTTAGCCACCAGGCCACCTGTTTTGCTCCACCCTTTCTCAATATCCAAACCACCTCATTCCTCTGAATAATACTTTTAGTAACCCCACACATTTTAATCTTCAAGCACCAAATTCTCTGCATAATATTCACACCACACAATGCCCTCAAACATGATTGCCACTCCCTCCAGCCTTCTCACCTCAACATTTAAAACCCATGCTTCAAACCTGTATAACAGTATTGGTACCACTATACTTTGGGACATATATCTTTTTTGCCTCCATGGATAAAGTTAGTCTCCACAGATGCCTCAATGATACTATATTTAACTGACGGTGTAAACTAAACTTGGTTGTGGAAATTGACCCCCTTCATAATTATTAGCCAAGTTCAGTTTAAAAAAAATAGATCAGTGCTTGGACTAATAACAGTTAGTGAACAAAATACTATATAGGGTGGATGCAGAGAAATAGACTCAGGAATAAGCAAGTAGTATAATTGCAAATAAGGCTATTTAATAAAGACTAAGTGCTACATGATTACCTCAAACTCCTCCTCTCCTTATACCTTCCTGTTTTGTATAAGACTGATGAAGCCACTGTGTGGCAAAACATTTCTTACTCATATTCTCATCATGTTTACATGGTCATCATTAGACCCTTTCATAATCTAGTTCTTCTTTAATGTTTCTGTGTGTGTGTCAAAGGCACTTGCCACTAGCGTTTATCAAATGCTATTTACATCCCCTATATTAATTCCTGTTTTCCATTTATACACCTCCACAGTGTGAGTGACTGTGTGTTACACAATTTACCTATCTTGGAAAGGAATTCTGATTTGAATACCAAAATTATTATATTAAATATGATGAAGACTACAATACAGGTTCATGGATTAGAATTCAGTCTTTTGTAATACATATTTAAGTAGGCTGTGATATGAGTGAATGAAATTTGTTATTTATAGAGAGGCATAAACAAGGTGTTTTCTCTCTCTTATGATGAAGCATTGAAGAAGATGTAAGCCTGGCTAATGATGTCATCACAATAGAAGGCAAAAAGCGAGGAGGACGGCCAGAACTGGGCAAGATCCTGGGGGAGATGACTCTGCAAGATGAAGAGCCTCTGTCTGACCAGGATCAAGACCTTTTGGACTTGATGGATAGTGTTAAATCTTAGCTTACTAGAGAAAATACAGTCATGAGGTGGTGGATAGGTAGTGGACAATAGAGTGTTAATATTTTTTTTTCTTTAGTTAATGAAGAAATTTTGATTTCTTATTTCAGGATATTTATTCTAATATAAAATTGCTGTGATCATTCTTTGTAGGAATTATCAGCTGTATACATTTTTTCACCAGATAGAGCATCTACCACCAATTCACCATGACCCAAAGAATGAAGTACCTTCACCATCATTCATTCAATACCTGTCTTACCAGAAGTGCACTGACATCACAGTTCAAAGGGCTATCAGAAGTGCAACATCCCCATATTATTATTTTGTGTTGCATCAGTTTTTCACAAAACCTTTTCATAACAGTGTCACATTAGAACAGTGAGACTGGTAGTGCTAGCCAAGAAGAGCAACTGGGTTGGTTATCTTAGATACATGTATCTAACTGTAACACTAGATACTTTCACAAGGAAAACTGTAAAGTTGAAGAATTAAACATGTGCAACATCTATATATCCTTAATTTGTAGACGTTTCACCATCCACTGGCTTTATCAATACAATAAAAGGACATAATATGAAGACTGTAGGAATATATACAAAAGACAAGGAAATCAGTCCCTCACCCTTGGAGTAGGTGATGAGCACAGTAGATTCAAGACTACAGTGCTCATCACTTCTAGGCTGAGGGACTGATTACCTCATCTTTTGTATATACAGTGGACCCCCGGTTAACGATTTTAATCCGTGCAAGAGGGCTCATCGTTATGCGAAATAATCGTTATGCGAATTAATTTTCCCCATAAGAAATAATGGAAATAAAATTAATCCGTGCAAGACGCCCAAAAGTATGAAAAAAATTTTTTTTTACCACATGAAATGTTAATTTTAATACACACAAACTGAAAAAGGCATGCACAATTACATGACACTTACTTTTATTGAAGATCTGGTGATGATTGATGGGATGGGAGGAGGGGAGAGCATTATCTTCTTACTGTTTAGAAGGGGAATCCCCTTCCATTAGGACTTGAGGTAGCAAGTCCTTTTCTGGGGTTACTTCCCTTCTTCTTTTAATGCCACTAGGACCAGCTTCAGAGTCACTGGACCTCTGTCGCACAACAAATCTGTCCATAGAGCTCTGTACCTCCCGTTTCTTCAAGACTTTCCTAAAATGGGCCATAACATTGTCATTGAAATAGTCACAAGCACGGCTTGCAACAGCTGTGTCAGGGTGATTTTCATCTATAAAGGTTTGCAGTTCAAACCACTCTGCACACATTTCCTTAATCTTTGAAGTAGGCACAATGGATTCCACAACTGGCATAGGCTTCTCAGGGTTAGCCCCAAACCCTTCAAAATCTTTCTTAATTTCCATACTAATTCTCACCCTTTTTACCACAGGGTTGGCACTAGAAGCTTTCTTGGGGCCCATGGTCACTTATTTTCCAGAAACACCACCGAAAACACTGAAATAATACGAAATATTCCGAGTGTATGCTTGGATGTTACCGCGGAGGCTGGCTGGTAAACAATGGGACGGCCGGCACATGTGAGGGCACATTGGACGCGTCTCGGACGAAAATCGGTATGCGGGTTTTTAATCGGTATGCGGGGCAAAAATTTTGCGATAAAAGTAATCGTTATGCGGAAAAATCGCTATGCGATGCCATCGTTATGCGGGGGTCCACTGTACTTCTACAGTCTTCACATTACGTCCTTATATTGATAAAGCAACTGGATGGCAAAACATCTGCAAATTAACAGATACCCCTAGATGTTGCACTTGTCTAATTCTTTATCTTGTCAGTATTGCATATCATTCATATTCTACAACTGTAAAGTTTGTTTAATATTAATTTCAGCAAACGAGTTATTAGAATGACTGTATCAGACTGTTAAGAGTGACAATGACTAATGAATTATTCAAGAATCACAAGACTGTCTATATGATTTTTTTTTTTTTTTTTTTAAGAAGTTGGCAGTCTCCCACCGAAGCAGGGTGACCCAAAAAGAAAGAAAATCCCCAAAAAGAAAATACTTTCATCATCATTCAACACTTTCACCTCACTCACACATAATCACTGTTTTTGCAGAGGTGCTCAGAATATAACAGCTTAGAAGCATATACGTATAAAGATACACAACATATCCCTCCAAACTGCCAATATCCCAAACCCCTCCTTTAAGTGCAGGCATTGTACTTCCCATTTTCAGGACTCAAGTCCGGCTATATAAAAATAACCGGTTTTCCTGAATCCCTTCACTAAATATTACCCTGCTCACACTTCAACAGCTCATCAAGTCCCAAATACCATTCATCTCCATTCACTCCTATCTAACACGCACATGCATACTTGCTGGAAATCCGAGCCCCTCGCCCACAAAACCTCCTTTACCCCCTCCCTCCAACCTTCTCAAGGACGACCCCTACCCCGCCTTCCTTTCCCTACAGATTTATACGCTCTCCATGTCATTCTACTTTGATCCATTCTCTCTAAATGACCAAACCACCTCAACAACCCCTCTTCAGCCCTCTGACTAATACTTTTATTAACTCCACACCTTCTCCTAATTTCCATACTCCGAATTTTCTGCATAATATTTACACCGCACATTGCCCTTACACAGGACATCTCCACTGCCTCCAACCGTCTCCTCGCTGCAGCATTTACAACCCAAGCTTCACACCCATATAAGTGTTGGTACCACTATACTTTCATACATTCCGTTCCTTGCCTCCATAGATAACGTTTTTTTGTCTCCACATATACCTCAACGCACCACTCACCTTTTATCCTTCATCAATTCATTGATTAACCTCATCCTATATAAATCCATCCGCTGACACGTTAACTCCCAAATATCTGAAAACATTCACTTCTTCCATACTCCTAATCTCCAATTTGATATCCAATTTTTCTTTATCTAAATCATTTGATACCCTCATCACCTTACTCTTTTCTATGTTCAATTTTCTACCTTTACACACACTCCCAAACTTGTTCACAAACCTTTGCAATTTTTCTTTAGAATCTCCCATAAGCACAGTATCATCAGCAAATAGACCATTGGTATCATACAGCATCTGGGGAAAATGAAGTAAACAGGTTTAATCCAAGGGAGATCAGGTCCAGTTCCTTGGATCATGAGCCTCTCACTGGGACTAAACTAGGCAAGAGTTATTAAGTCTGTATTATATCATATAAAGCTTGAGAGAGTTTATCAACTTATTTACAAGCTTGCATAAAGATACATTGTGTTGTACTAGTGTACTTTATCAAGTCCAAAAACACCCCATAAAACTACTCCTTAAATATACATTCCAGTAAGGTGCAGTAGGAAGAAATCATGTCATATGCACAAAGGCATTGTAATAATCATGGGAAAGAGCTATACCCATATGAGTCTGTTGCAACAAAAACAAAAAAAGGGAAAAGACAGGTCACAGGTGTTATTGTGTGGAGCCTCGAGTGGGAAGGCTACCTAGCAGTGTGGAGCCTCGAGTGGGAAGGCTACCTAGCAGTGCCTCTTCAAGGGAGAGCTCCTTGGCGTGAAGAGGCTCTTGGTCTGAGGAATTGGACCTGCCGGTCTCCTTTCTCAGACCGAACCTAATTACCCCCCAATCCCCCCTTCCCTATCCCATCCTCTCCTTTTTCCTTTCCTCCTCCTCCCCACCCCTCCCTTTTGCCCTTCCTCTTTTTGGCCTTTGGGATTTTTCCCACAGGCACACTAGTTCATAGGTAGGGGGAAGGGTACCGGGGTCCATCCCATTCCGCTGAGGTTCTTGGCGGTGGCGTAGTTTGCCGTGGGATCTGCATCGCCTGGGGATGTCCCGATCCCTCTCCGGTATCCCGGAGGGTGGCTTTGGGTGTCTTTTGGGCGACAGGTGTATCTCTGGAAGCCACCTTTTGGATTCCGGGGGTGGTGGCCGAAGGAGGTATGCTTTGTGGCGGATATCCGGCCGCCCTCTCTTTTGTCCACCAAGGTAGCTCGGCAGATGTGAGGTTGCTATCCTGGATTGCTGGTTTACTGGCATGAAGGGTAGGGTATGGCATGGGTTCCATGCTGCATCTGCGCTACTTGCGGTGCTGAGGTCCTCTTGGGCGCGGAGGGAGATTTCTGGCCCTTTCATTCCTCCTAGGAACTATCCCTCCCCAGTCCCCCCTTTTTTTATTCTTTTTTTTATTTTTATTTTTTCTTCTTTTTTTTCTTAAAAACAAAAAGAAAGAAGTAACCTAACCATGGAGTCCCAAATCCATGACCCCGCTACCCCCGGGCCCCTTATTGTTACTGCACCCTGTTCTGACCTCGCCTCGTCTTTTGGCCACTCTTTGGACACTCCTAAGGCCCCTGTACCTCTTGCTGGTGCTGTTTCCTCACCCGCTTCAGGTACCAGGGCTTCCACTGACTCCTTCGATTTGTCTGACCTCCGCTTTCCTTTGACTATGCTTCCGGCCTCTCCCTCTATGGTGCGATGATTTTCGAATCGCCAGCCCGTCTCACGTCGGACCGACTCTGGTCCCACTTCTAATTTTTTTTTTTTTTTTTTTTTTTCAACAAGTCGGCTGTCTCCCACCGAGGCAGGGTGACCCAAAAAAGAAAGAAAATCCCCAAAAAGAAAATACTTTCATCATCATTCAACACTTTCACCACACTCGCACATTATCACTGTTTTTGCAGAGGTGCTCAGAATACAACAGTCTAGAAGCATACACATATAAAGATACACAACATATCCCTCCAAACTGCCAATATCCCAAACCCCTCCTTTAAAGTGCAGCCATTGTACTTCCCATTTCCAGGACTCAAGTCCGACTATATGAAAATAACCGGTTTCCCTGAATCCCTTCACTAAATATTACTTCTAAATACCAACAACAATCTCCTGACGACGTTACTTCGTTACCTTCCCATTCTACTCGGAAAAGGCCGACACGTCATGCACTCACTCTCCACACTCAGTTTCAGACCACACAATGGACTAAATTCTTTACTTTACGACCGACTTCTTCTACTGCCTATCTTTCTGACCATAGTATTGGTAAAGCGCTCCTACGCCACATTGGTAGAGATATTTCTTTTCATGCTCTTAAGAGTGGTACGTGCATCATCACAGTCCAGAATTCTACCCAAGCTCATGATCTTTCTCTTCTTCCACATATCGATACTATTCCTATCACTATCGAAAAATATCATTCCCTCAATTCTTGTAGTGGTACTGTTATTCTGCCCCATACCATAGTCCAACAGAATTTCCAGACATGTGGCAATGACATTCTCGAACAGCTGGAACTCCAGATCTCCCAATTCTCAAGGTAGACACTTATGTTCTTCCCGCCCATGGGCGAAGACGATACCTTGCAATGTGGCTCGTTTAACTTTTGACAGCCATGAACTCCCATCCTATGTTTATGTAGCAGGACATCGGTTACAAGTTCGGAAGGGGGACCCCTACAACCGAAACAGTGTAGGAATTGCGGCAATTTGGCCACCCAGCAAAATATTGCAGATCTATAGCCGAATGCCCAGTCTGTGGTGCCGATGACCATTTTGATACATCTTGCAGTCGACCTCCCTCTTGCCTTAATTGTCATGAGGCTCACCCTTCGTACTCCGCTGTTGCCAGGTCTACTTAAGTGAGCGGGAAATTTCTTTGCCTCAAAGAGGCAGAAGGTCTCCCTTTATGCTTGGCAGTTTCTCATCTCCGCCTCCAAGGGGGGACTACCCCATGTTTTTTATTCTCGTGTTTCAAAAACGTCCACCCCACTTCTGGGTCCCATCTTCTGCAGCCTCCTCTGCGGTTGCCAGTCCCATAGTCACTCCTGTATCTAATTCTTTTGCTGTCCTGGGCTCAGATGTCCCTACTTCAACACCTGGGGTTGTCCTCACTTCTTCGTTTTTCTCCCTCAAAAAACGCCGGTATCGACAAGACCTCGTACGACACCTCCCAATCGGCCCTCTACTTCTCAGAGGTCCAACAAATCTATTTTAAAACCCCTCCTTCCCTTCATCCACCTCCACATTTTACCTTCCCGGTCTCTGTACCTAGGTTTTCCCCTTTCACTGGCTCTGTTACAATGTGGAGGTTCATCCTTCTCCTCGTACTGTTCCTTCCTCCCCTGTCCCCTCCCAATTTT